TGTGGATGCATGTGAGTATGCATTTAGTTCATCACCAGCTAATTCTTTTACAGAAACAAAGGGCTATGATGAAGTATTTATGATTACATGCATGCTGTATATTTGATTATATACATACAGTGGTAGCTTAGCTTGCTTGAACAATGTGTGTTCACGAGGATCACCAAGAAAATTATCTAGGTCCCTGGAGTGCATATATTATATGAAGTCTTAACTTCAACAGTTACTAATGCATGGGCCTGAAATGTTAGTTTCACATGTTCTTCACATTGTTTTATCTAGTTCGATACAGGCTATGTTCTACTCTGCTACGATCGTACCTAAATAAATAAACACATATAGACCAAACATTCTCTATGTCAAAGTCCTGAAATAACTCACAGAAGCAACAATGAAATGTAGGTCTCTGCTACGATTATGGGTACTAGCAAATAACTGACGCCAAAAACATGTAGACATCAGAAAACTTAACATGGCGTCATAGTCGCAGGGAATGAGTAGTCTCAGAGCAGAATGATAACTTAGATCAACAAAGCGGTTAAGTTCAATCATAAGAAACATATATGGAGAAGAAAACCGACATGCATGGAGGAACTTCTCCAGATCATGATACAGAACAGTCCGGTTATATGATGTTGGATAGGTATGATAGAGAGAAGAGAACTAACTAAACTTGACATCATATATTTGACAGGGATGACCTATATACTTGACATCATATATATGTGTATCTGTGATAATGTCTTCAGATATAGCTCTCCATGGAAGGTAATGTTAACAGAATGACAGGTACCAAAAATCTTCTGTCCAACTAGTTATCTACATCACAAGTACTTTATGTTAATAGGAGCAGAGTAGCTCTACCACTCAGGGAAAACAGTCACTCTTGTTTCATGAGACATTCAAAAAGCAACTTACAAAGGTATGAAATGGGCTTAAAAACAAAGCAGTTAATCTATAGGGCCCTGGGCTGGTTGTATACTGAGCCACAAAGGCCAAGTGTTTTTCGACAAAAAGAGCTACAGGTAAAGGAATGACTTTCTGGAGAAGAATTAAAAGAAAAGGTAAATGTCAATCACAAGCCCGGAGATATTAACTAGGCTAACCAACGACGTAGCAATAAGGGAAGAACAGTAATGCATATACGGAACTCACCTACCACAGATAACACGCTGGTGATTATGGCCCAAGGATGATGCTGAAGCAGCAAGTAGATGACAGCATTAGAGACAAGAAAGCCCGGCCGGGATGAGATGGACAGCGACCCCTTGCGGCCGGCCTGAGTGGTACCGGCGAAGCAGGGGATGTATGCATGCTTCCCAGCCACTGCTTTAAGGGGATGGCAAACACGCATAAGAGCAGCAATGACATGCATGCCTCCCACCAACTTACCTTCCGGCTGGCCGACTGCCTGCCTGGCTTATATAGTCCATGCAAGAACGAACCCTATGCTTGGCCACAAGCCATGCACGCACCGCAATCTCCCCTCTCACCACTCAGTGCTGCTCAGCTTGTGCGAAGCAGTCGGCATGATGGAACACATGCATGAAGCGTACTGATCGGAATGTCAGAGGAGAAGAAAGCGCGGCGGGGAACACAATATGATATAATTATGTGCGCGTGTATGAGGTTGAAAAGATGGTGTGGAAAAGGCAGGGACTCGAGAGGATGAGATGAGGGGGGAGGGGCGGGGCGGGGCGGGAAGGAATAATTAAGTGAGGAGGGAGGGACAGATGGGAGATGGTGATGTTTGTTTGCAGAGGAAGATAAAATGATGCCTGCGTGAAAGCTCTCATGTGAGGACCCATCATGCACGCAGCCCTTCTGCTCTATCTTCCTAATTAATCCTCCCTTCTACTATGCTGTTTTCACACTGCATATCTCTCGCGTGCAAAATATAATAGTGTCTGAACAATGATGGACATATATATGGCCTTTTGCTCCCACGCAAAACAAATAGAAAAGGATTTGAGAAGCTATATGCAATGGAAGGGAAAACGATCCTGGTACTTACATCATTACTGCGCTCATCCCATGTGTATCACGGAATGATGAATGCGGCAGATCACCCCATTTTATTCCTCCTGTCTCGGTAATTAGTTGAAGCACTGAGATCCAAAGGGCAGGCCACCAAGTTCAGATCAAGATGCCATTTCCGCTCCTTGCTATTGTCCAGCTTGCTTCACATGATTTTCATTTGTCGCAGTGAAACAGCTTTAGTGTAATATCTGTAGAAAACAAAATGAAATATTGGAATATCTGGTTCAAGAATCATCGATAGAGTACAACTTAGAAAAAAAAACAAAAGAGACAAAAAGTTCAGCTCAATATGTTCTCTACCTGGGGTATGCGGGCCGACCGAAACCAGAAGAAACTAGCAGGCGATCCTTTCCGTATGCCATTACCTTAGGTTTAGTCTTAACTCCAAACTAGTAATAGCATGGTGCTATGATTGAGCTTATGAGCACATGTTCCCCTTACCTTTGACCAAAGCTTAAGGAAGAAGCTATCAGATTGCAAGCATACTCCATTTCTACTTTTTCCTGGGTGATGTCAAGCCCTGCATGCCTGCGTGAGTACACATCACATTTCCTATGTGTTTCCTTATGTGACACACTACAGAAAAAATATCGAGTAGAGTATATCCAAACGGTATATATATACATATATATTGCAAATATTGTTTGCTGTTATCAGGGTTTCTGAAAGCTTCGGTTAAACTGAAATTTCACGGAAGATCAGGATCATGAATGGTTAACTACAACAGCACTAGCTGAAATATCCTGTGTGGAGTTACACCAGTACTAGTTAAAAATCTGTCAGTGATTCGGCCAGATCGAAACCAGGCTGCCGAGACCGGGAACACCAAAACACGCTAGCTACCGTCTACAATGGCAGCAAATGCAACAATAATTGCCTTTCGTTCCTTGCCAGAAAATTACCACGGCATGCCTACATACAGCACCCAGGACCAGGCAGCAAATGCAGTATACTCATGAGTTGAGCTGGGCATAGACCCAGCCACACATGAAGGCCATTGCCCAGCCAGAAGCAAGCAATAATATACTACTACCAAGGCAGGGGCAAAGGAAGCATATGCATGTGGTGTGGAGCCAACCAGCAAGCAAGGGGACAATGCTTCTTCCTCCAGTGATTGCTGTTTACTCCACCAGGGACCAAACACCCAGAAAAAAAGCAGGGGTGAAGGTCCCAATGGAAAAGGGCTATGTTGAGTTACTTTTAAGCATTGAGCACAGGTGTTTGTCCCTAAAACCCCAAGGTTTGCAACTTGCCTGCTTACTTTATTGACTTCTCGTGCGTAGTGCTGAACTTATCCAAACCTCAAAGTGGCAAATAAGATGTGGTTGCATAGCTAGTTGTTTATTTCAGCTGCCTTGCCAAAGGCCAAAAGCTGGAATGCATAGCCTTTTCAACTTCAGAAGAAGAATATAGCCAGGAGATATCAGATAATAAAATAATTAAGAAGCGTCTTCTGAACTAGACGAGCTAAAATTATAGAGTTTCATCAGCACTGCAAAACTGAGTTTTGTTGTAGCTAAATTCATGAACTGCAAAAATTTGCTCAGGCCACTTATCTGCCAAGTTTCTTTAGACATATCCTGTTGACTGGTAATATAACTGTCAAACTTTACAGCGGTTCTGGTCATCAAAGGAAGCAAAAGGCTGCAATGTAAATAATTGTGGGAATATATTTTGTCGTCAAGAAAGGCTGCATAAAAAGGAGGCAATAAACAGCAGGTCAAACAGTTGCTGACACATCAATGTTAAGGTTTTTTGGAGCAAGAGTAAAGTATTAGGCCCTGTTCGGAACTACCCCGCTCCGCGGAGTTGGGGAGCTGGGTTTTGGCAGCTCCGGCAAATTAGGCTGAAGTGTGGTCGGCTCCGGAAGCGGAGTTAAAGGAGTGGAGAGAAACCGAACGCAGCCTTAATTGATTGCAAATTTGGACTTTGGACCAACCTGCAAATATTCAGTCACCAGAGAAGGTAAAAGAAATAGTAAGGGTAACAGGGGAGCAATGAATCCAACAAATGTTAAAGCGCCGTGCAAGGAGCATGATCAGAACCACCGGCCAACCTCATTTTATTTATTTCCTTTTAGATCATAATAATATGTAAACAGAAACATCATAGAGAAAAGTGAGATGTGATGTCGTACCTAACTGTGACTGATAAGGAAGTCAAACAAAAAGTTGCTGAAAGCCAAAAATGAGGCTGAGATAGGTACTAGTTTCTGATACAATGAGGAACTTCTTTTCTTTATGCAATGACATTGCTTGCAAGAATTTTTCTATAGCAAATCATTAGCAACTATTATTTAATACGCTAAAAAAATGTTAGCCAGCTTGATTATCTTATAACTGAATTCACAGTACCAATATAGCAATCAAGACATATGAGTAGATCCTTAACCACACATATATGCATTACCTGAAAATCTGAGATCGAAATGAAGGTGATCATGACTTCTGCTTATGCCTTCATAGTGGGCGCCACACATCTGAAGCTTGCACCAATGGAGTTAAAGTATCAGGTTCATATCCTTGTCAAGTCATCTTAGGGTAGCTGCCTAACCCTTTCTCCATTAGGTGCTCTTCCTGCAACAGAGGTCATTGAATTTGAACTATGGCAGCACAACAAGTCAAGCCCCACATCCCAGAGGATCCATCAACCCCCTTGTATTGGAACAATCTGGGCAAGCAACAACTGAAAGGACAAGCTCAACAGATAACATTCATCCACCTCATGTCGATACTCGAATACAAACAAAACAAACAACCCCCAACAATGCATGTATCCAATGAAAAAGGAAGCTACATCAAAATTGCTCAGAAACAGCCAGTTGGAGCAGGTAGCAGAGCTTTTCTTCATCATCAAGCTTATTACATTCCCGTAAATGGATACCCCAGGTATAGTCTGGGCTAAAACTCACGCTGACCAGCGCTTTCAACAAACACGCATCGCACGGCATGGATGAAAATTCAGTACTTGTTTCGCCACGCGTGCCAGTTTAGCTTTAGCTGGTACCACAGAGGAGATACGCCATGGACTCCACTGGACAAGCGTGAGTCGAAGACGTTGAATTCGCGGCGCCGCAGGGAGTCCAGAAGGACCTGGGCCGGCACGGCTGGGAGGAGCACGGGGACCGCCTCCGCTGGCACAGACGCGGCCAGCTCCCGGGCCTTCTGCAGGTGAGCCTCAGCAACAGACGCAACCTTGAAAACTGCATCCGGGAGCGCGTCGCCCATCCTGACCTCCGTCCGGCCACCCTCCCGCGCAAGCAGCCCGCACTCCTCGGCCACACTCGCCGGGATGTAAGGTATCTTCCCCTGCTTGCTCACATGGTGAGGCAGCGCCTTGAGCAGCAGCAGCAGCCCACTCGCCTTGCCGATGTGTGACGCGGCATGATCAGCAACAGTGGACTGTATCCCACCGGCCTGCAGCGTCATGTACAGGATGGTCGACTGGGTGTCCTCCGCGTACCTCTCCAGCTCCGGGACGTTCTCAGGGATGGCGTCCTCATCCCGGTTCCCGTCGTTGATCCTGGCCTCCAGCGACCGCTTGAGCCAGTGCTTGCTGACCTTCTGCTCGGAGAGCACCGAGGAGAGCGCGAGCGCGACGGGGTGCTCGACCTTCTTGCCGGCGCAGACCTTGTCGACCACGTCCTTCCACCAGAGGAGGCGCATGAGGCCCTTGCGGGGGTCGGACACGACGTCCATGGCCTTGGCCGTCTCGACGTTGAAGGCCCGGAAGGTGAACGCGGCCTTGCGCATGGCGGGGGGCAGGTGGAGCAGGCAGAGGTAGTTGTGGTAGTCGTAGCTGCGCACCTGCTGGACGCAGTGGGAGAGGGCTGTCCGCAGGCTGCCGCTCGCTGCGGTGCCCCCGCTCATGAGGTCTGGTCCAGGTGTGTGTAAGTTCCTGTAACGAAGAGGAAATGCAGTGTTATTAAGGCAGATGTATGGATGACAGGATTGGTAGATGGAACAGCCGGACGGGTACTGGCAGAGTAAACTGGCAAGCAAAGCATTAAGCATACAACCTGATTGTTTTTCACCTAACAGTCTAAGTAAAGATGTGACTCATCTATAACAGGGTAATATCAATATGTAGTGCTAGCCTGAATGAAAATTGCGCAGTGGAGCTTGCGAAAATGGGTGGCTATATTTGTGTTTGAGATCCTGATGAAACTGGGTTCAGTTAGCCCACATCGCAAGCAAATTAGAGAGTCGGTTCTAGAATTTGCAGTGCTCTCCACGGTGATGGGGATGCGATTTAGCAGCAAGCAAAGTGTCTACTCAGTAACAGAAATGGACTAATTTTGTTGGACTCGTTTATAGTACACTAGCAATCGGTTGCCGTAAGCCGATACACGTAGCACTAGCAGGGGAGCTAGCTACAGATCCGCTCCGGGCCTTGGCCGAGGGATACGGGCCCTGCGCTCTAGTTCTTCTAGGTGCCGGCGACCGCATACGGCGGTGAAGAGCGCGCGGCCAGCGGCGGGCACCGCGCCGGAGACGATAGCCGCGCCCGCGGGAGGGTTCAGAGTGCTCCGCGGTTGGCTGAGGTGGGGAGAAAGGGGGGAAGGGGAGCATACCGTGGCGGTGGGGCGGAGACCACCGGAGCAGAGCAGATCACGGTCGCCGGAGACGGGAGAGAGGAGCAGGACCGATGTGGATGATGGACTGGATCGTCGCTGTGACATCTCCTGTGGCCCTTTCGAGCGGGTCCGATGGGCCGGTGATGGGCTACGCCCACGGGCCTCCGGTCCGAGGCCCAGGAGGCGGAACCCCACGTGGCGGGCCGCGCCACCGCGGGGGCGTTATCCTTGGCGCGCCACCCGTTCCGTTCGGTTCTGTTCGCGCGCGACCCACCAGACGGACGATGCTTCTGCTGCGCGCCAGCCCGGCGCCGGCGGCCGTCCCGATCTCCTCCTCCTTCTCCGCGGCGCCCGCGCCAGCGGCCTACGCTACCACCAGGTCGTCCTTCTCCACCACCACGGCCCGCTGCTCCGTCGGCAACCTCTCGCCGGTCCAGTTCGAGCCGCTCCGCGCCGACGCCGACGCCGGCCCCGATCCCGCCTTATTCCAAGCCGGCGCGGCCACTGCCGACGGCGAGGATCAAGACCAGCCTCAGCAGCAGCAGGAACACGGCGGAGATGAGGATCAGGCGGACGAGGAGGAGGGGAAGAAGGGCGGCATCAACGTGCCGCGCCAGCGCTACATCGCGGTGCCCAAGGCGGCCCTCCTCGACGCCGCCCTCTCCCTCTTCCCCTCCCAGCCCGCCGCCGAGGACTTCAGGCGCTTCGCCAGGCCAGTCCCCACTCCCGCGCCCCTCCTCTACCACCAGATGATGGGATCGGCATGTAAAGAATGGGGAAATTCACATGCCCTTTGCTCATGCGCTGCAGGTGCTTGGACGCGGTCCTGCACGCGGAGCACAAGGAGACGCTCGAGCAGATGCGCGCCTACTACATGCTCCCGGACGAGGACGACGAGAAGGGGCCTGGCAAAGCCTCCGGCGGCAACCGGGCGTCGTCATCGGTGAACGGCAGGGGCTCCGGGCTCTTCGGCATGTCCCAGGACGGCGATGACGACGACGACGGCAGGATGTCGTTTCTCTCCCGAAGCCTGGACTGGAAGACTCTGCTCGGCTTATCACCGGATCCAGCTCCCATATCTCCCACCAGGTAGTAAAACCTGCTCTAATTTTATTTTGTTATACTTGCCCAACCGATTGAAATTGGGACTGCTGCTGCTACTGCTGGCTAGCTAAGCATGGTTCATTGATTTGTGTGATGCAAAAAGGGTTGCCTTTGCGACTCATTTCCAGCGCGCCTTCATGAACCTCCTGCGCAACGCTCAGTTCGAAGAGCTCTCCGCGCAGGACCTGCTCCTGACCTACTCCCTCAACAGCGATTACCTCCTGACGCTGCCGGTTTACGTCGACTGGAAGAAGGCAGCCGAGTCTAATGCCATCATATTCCGGTGAGTTTTAATTTGGTCCTGTGACTTCACAGACTGTTGCGTATATGCAAAAGGGAAATGGAGCTCCCATGGCGTGACTAATTCTTTGACTTTGGCAGGCGTGGGTATTCGACCGAGAGCCAAAAAGGCCTGCTGTTGGTGGAGAAGCTTGATTACCTGCAGTCCAAACTGTTGCAGAAAATTTTCTTCAGCCTTTCCAAACCCTTGGGGAAACTGGGGAAATGGACCAATGAGGTCAGTCAATCCTCCCCTCATGACAGTCCATTTGATCACATTCACTATGTCACACTCTGACTGAACTCACTTATACATGTACTCCTTTAGATTGTTGTAGCGAACTTTCCTGCACGGCTAGAACATGCTGAATACACTATTATTCATGTTATTATTCTCTTGTCTAAACTTATAATGACTGCTAGACCTGTTACTTCTATGATTCAGCATGCCCATGCAACTCTTAGCTAATTGTATGTGATTATTTTAGTTCTTGCCAGGCATTGAAAAAATCAACAGGGAGCCCGGGATTTCAGATCTGGATTGACAAATTGAAGCTCTGGCTGAAAGAGCAAACTTATGCAGAGAATTCACTCTTGTTGATAGAAAACTATTCTAGGGGCAAGCTTACGCCAGATCAATTACCAGATGCAGATCTTCCTATTTGGATTGCTGCACAAAGGGCAGTCTCTCGTTATGAAGGATTCCTGTCACCTGTTGGTCCTCGCGGCAGACTCCTAAGAAGAGTGCTTACATGGACAGGATTAATTCCATCTCTGCCAGAGGCAACGCTGAAATCTGATACTGAAGCAAAACAATCTGAAGGCTATGTGAGGTTAGATTCCGAGTAGATGCAGGTTTTTGTATGCTATTTTAGGGACACATCTTTGCTTCTGCTTTATATGAACTTAGGCAAATCTAGCATTAGTACTAGGGGAGACCAGGGTTTGACTGTAAGTATATAACCTCATAACCACTTGCTAATTATAAATTCTTATTTTCCTTTGTGTACATCCTTCTATGCCACAAGAACCCCAGAAGTATTGCTGTCACCCGTATTTATCGGTTTCTTTCTTTTCCTATGTATATTATCGTTGAAATGCGATATAATCAACATTAAAATTTATACTACAGGGTTTTCCTTATTTGGGGTGCATCTTTGGTACTTGACCGCTATATGTTTATGAATTTATGAGATATATTCTGCTTTTGCTTCAGGCCAAATTTTCTGCCTAGAATTACCCTTGCAAACATATGGGAGCCAGCAAGCAGAGAAGCTTGTGACAACAATATTTGGGAGATAATAAAAGCTTCTTTTGGCATTTTATTTGCCAAGTCTACTCTCCAGGTACTTAGTATTTGATATCTGAACACCCTTTCTTACCAGTAGGTTATGGATATGACTATTTATATTATGATTGTGAAGTATTCACCGTGTTGTGTGAAAAAGAGAGGGTAGAGTGGTTCAAAGCTTCGAGCACTATTATATCATTGAATCCTGCTTCACGTGCAAATAGAATTGGCTTGCACTCTGTAGTCTCGTATGTGCCATGAAGCACCTTGTGTAATGAAGCATAAGCATAAGAAACAGTTTAAATGTAAACAAATCGTGGACACAACATTTGCCCCAAATGTCCCAGACATTTTTTTCATTAGCTGCAAACTGACAATATTCTGATGATTATCTGTTATTCTCTTTTTACTTATTGTGGGTTTGGGATGCTCATAAGCTACATAAATGTCATTTATCAAAATAGTCTGCAACGAAGAGACATAATTCCATTTAGTTATTTGCCAGGAACCAGCATTCGAAGAACTGATCATACTTTATTCCGATGATTCTGCTCAAAGTAATGAGAAGGAGAGTTCTGAGATGCAGATGCTGCCGCCGCAGTTGAAAATTTACGAGAAAATACCCATCCCAGATCTGCCAGTAAGCGCATCAGTCTCATGGGCACCTTTGGTTTACCTACATGTAGAGTATAATGCTCATAATCTCTATCTATTATGGTTATTAAGATGGAAAAATTGGACAAACTCGTCAATGCAGATTTCAGTACTGACAATCTGACGTTGCATCCAAAAGCCTATGCACTATTAAGAATATATTTAGCATCAGTACTTTCTATTTCGAGAAAACACAAGAGAAATGTTTATCTTCTGTGTTAAGAGAATAGTGCCAAATATCATAGTAACTACCCTTGTCTGCAGGTGGTTTTCCCTCACAAAAAGTTGTCATTCCGCATCCTTGATACAGTAATTCCCTCTTGATTCTTTTTTTCTCCTTTTCATTTTGACTCCTGCACTTTAGATTGTTGAGATAACATTTTCCTTAATACAGGTAAGGCTTGATATAGCCACCGTTATAGGATTGTTGGCATATGTTGTCAACTACAAATTTGAGAGTTTAGCCTCATCTCCGTAAGTATGTAGTTTGCATCAGTAATATTAGAGAATTCTTTCTTATTTTCTCGAAACAAGTAACGTTGTTTGCATTCTTCCATGGTATGTAATGCAGGTCAGCTTTCCTTCTTGATCTAGCTGCTTTTACTGCACTCGCAATACTCGTGTTCCGTGTGACTCTGGGATACAAACAGACCAGAGATAGATACCAGGTAGAAAATTTATATTAATCTATATTTGCATAATAGTGAAAGTGTTTATATGGTTCGATTTGCAAAGGGGGACAGACATAGCTAGTATGCTAGTAGTCCCTCCGTAAACTAATATAAGAGCGTTTAGATCATTACTTTAGTGATCTAAATGCTCTTATATTAGTTTACAGAGGGACTACTTGTTAAGCTTCATGCACTAGCCAACGCAACCAATAGTCCGAACTGATGGAAAGGGTTAGGAAATCCACATATACACTTCAACAGTACTGACTCATAAGTACATGCATAAAAACAATGATACAATTTTAAATGGCAAAGCTTGTTAAGTTAATGTCTTTAGGAAACCAAGGTTTTTATGTGCTTCTCAGTGCGAGAGAAGATATAGTTTGTTTGACATCAATACCTCTTCTCAGCTTTTGGTCAATAAGACGCTCTACGAAAAGACATTAGCAAGTGGCTTTGGTTCAGTTTACTTTCTTCTTGATGCTTCCGAGCAACAACAGGTAACATTTAATGTACAGCCCAAAGCATAACTTTTATGCATTTTGACTCTCTATTTGAGCAAGAAAATCCCCTCATCTGCTCTTTTTGTACAGTATAAAGAAGCACTCCTGGCATATGCTATGTTACTTGGCAGAAATAAGGTATGCCTTGCTGCTTTTACTACTTGAGACTTGTCACATTTAATTTGCAGAATCCTTGGCCTGATTCCATCCGTGCAGGTGTCTTCTCGGGCAAGCATCAGAGATATGTGCGAGCAGTTTATGTATGAGAAATTTAATGCGAAGGTGGGGAGTCTGACACCTTCTATCCATGTATTCTGCGGTTGTCATGAAATCATTAAGCGTGGTTCTGATATCCTTGTAGATTGAAATGCCTATTGACAAAGCTATGGAGACACTGCTGCGGTTGGGTCTGGTGGTCGAGCTGTCAACTAACGGCAGCTCCTCCTCTGTAATAGCTCTTCCCTGTCCAGACGCTTACGAGATCCTCAAAAGCCGCTGGGATAGTCTGCTGGAGCATAAGACATAGCAAGGTTAGTAAAGGATTGTGTGATGGAGGATGCTCTTTGAACCGGAAGGGCTTGCCTAAGATTCATGCTGTATGTTCTGCAGGGTGGTGAAACCTCGCTACAAATCGAGTTTCGTTTGTACAGCGGAAGGCAAAATCACAGTGTAGTCAAGTATGTGGCCTCTGATTTTGCTTGATCTCTCCAAGGTGTACACCGGAGATGTTGAAGGAAAAATATTCTACCGAATTTCACAAAAAAAAAGGCACTTCTGAATTTCCAACTTCGAGCCAAGGAGAATAGCAGTTGTTGATAGACAATATGATCTCTCTGTGTGCAGACAAGTGGGAATTTCTAGGATATGAATTTGTGCATAAGCTCAGTCCAAGATTTGTATATATTTTCGAGGTATATATATTTATTCGGAAAATGTTCAGCGTGCCATACATGCCACAAAGGGGAATTGACCGAGAATTACGCATGGTTTTTGCCGGCTGATAGATGATCTGGTTCCTTTTTTATCTGTTGAGAAGAGAAGGTTAAGCTCTTGTTCTGGCGATGCTAATTGGCAGTCACCCGCCAGTTAGTCTCTCAGTGGGCCAATTCCGACCAGGTGTTATTATTTCCTTTTTGGGAAAGTCATCCCTTGGTCAAACTTTCCATTAACTTCTGGAAAATCCAGCTCCAAATTTTCGAATTTCTAGAACTTGGGAAATTTTAAAACTTCCAGTAACTCAGACTTGAGGAATTTGGAACTTTGAGAAAATTTCAAATATCCATAATTTCTAAAACTCCCACCTGTTGTGGTTGCCTCTTCCTCTCTAAGTTTCATTCAGATGTGAATGTCCAAGTTGTGCATTGGAGAAGTTGCTTCTGAATTTCCAGGAAAAAAAAGGAGACTCTTGTGAACTTGTTTTTTCAAGGGAAAACAGTAACTATCCTACCGCTTGTAAATATAATTTTTCAAATGCCTGTACATGAAGGTAAAATAACAAAAGATAAAAATAGAGAGTGGCATTCAAACGTAGCCTTGCTTGCAATTCATGATATGACTTAGTTGTTGCACCGTTTATAACTAACCATGGCAAGCCCTGCTTTTCAAATTTCCCTGCATCTGTAGAGGGAGGTTCGGCTGGGTTTCTTGTGCCCCAGATGGGCCACCCGCCACCCAACTGATAAGAATAGCCAGCCACCTAACTGAAGAAAGAAACAACATAAATTCAGATATGAAAGAGGTGTCATGATTCAGATGTGCAATAAAAAAACTACTGTACGCCCTCTGTAAATTAATATAAAAGCGTTTAGATCACTACTTTAGTTATCTAAACGCTTTTATATTTCTTTACGGAGGAGGGAGTATGTTTGAACATGTCTTGGGATGCCAACATGGTTTGGACGGTGGCCCTTGGACAACCCATGGGGCGAGCTGCTCACCAAGAAAAATCATTTAGTTGTTTTTTTTTAGGGAAAGAAGAAAAATCATTTAGTTGTGGCCACCCCTTTTCAAAAGGCCAAACTATTTTTTATAGGGATCAGGGCCCAGCAGCGAAGGGAGAGGGAGAGGCCCAGTTCTAAGGATCGATCTGGAGCCCCGTTCCCCTCTGGTCGCGTCCAGGTCTTCTTCCTCCTCTCAATTGCTCCTCCCCTAGTGTCCCCTGAATGGCCACATCTTCTTCATCCTAGCTCCTCCCCATCTCCACTAGTCCCCTACTTCCCTGACTCCATGAGCAAGTCTGCAGGTGCGTGAGGTGAGTCCCCTCCCAAATCTCCATCTCCTTCTATTTTCTCATAGATAGATTCTTTCTCAAATCCAACAGCAGCAAGTGGATCTGCAGCCTGCAGCAGCATATTCTCCATACTTACTTGCATTTTCTTACTGTCGCTTGCTATTTTTTCATAAATCTGAATCAGTTGCTTGCGCAGAAACAAATCGAGCAACCCAGCTGCTGAGAGCGACCATGGATCTCGCGACGGGGGCCATGGGCAGCCTCCTCCTCAAGCTTGGCCAACTCCTCACGGAGGAGTACAAGCTGCAGACGGGCGTCAAGGAAGATGTTGGGTATCTAGAGAGAGAGCTGGAGAGCATGCATGCTGCCCTCCGCAAGGTTGGGGACGTGCCGCGAGACCAGCTCGACGAGCAGGTCAAGCTCTGGGCCAACCAAGTCAGGGACTTGTCATTCAGAATGGAGGACGTCGTCGACAAGTTCCTGGTGCGCGTCGAGGGAGCTGAGCCTGCCATCAAGCCACGCAAACTCAAGAAGCTCATGAAGAAGATGGGAGACTTGTTCAGCAAGAGCAAGACTCGCCATGAGATCTCCGATGAGATCAAAGACATCAAGCACCGCGTCAAGGAGGCGGCTGACCGACGTGATAGGTACAGGGTCGACGACGTGGTTGCTAGTCCAGTTGGCGCAACCACTGTTGACCCTCGCCTATTGGCTTTGTACAAGGACCAGAAAGAGCTCGTTGGTATTGATGATTCGTTGAATGAGCTAACCAAGATGATGAGTGATGGGGATGGTGATGCGTCCAAGCAACTCAAGATACTCTCTATTTTCGGATTCGGAGGCCTTGGCAAGACAACTCTTGCCAAAGCACTGTATGATAAGCATAAAGCGCAATTTGATTGCAGTGCTTTTGTTCCGGTTGGACGGAACCCTAGCGTGAAGAAAGTTCTCAATGACATACTCCTTGAAATTGACGGCCAAAAGTACTCGGAGTTGGATGAAAGGCAGCTAATCAACAAACTCCGAGGATTACTCGAGAACAAAAGGTATGCACCCTATTATGTAGTTTCATATACTTCAACTAGTGATTAGGGGGTTGCATGGAAGGCAACCAATTATTGAGTTCTGAGAACAAGAGGTACGCCCCCTGTTATGTAATTTCATATACATCAGATAGTAAATGGGAGAGAATAGCGTCAATCCTGAGAAGAAATGAGTAGAACAATTGGTTTGAGACATATTATAAGATAAGGGTTTCGATGTCCTATCATCACTATTGTGTATTTTGCAAAAAATGTGTGCTTGTATGCGCATAATAATGTATTGTATCAAGGTTTCCCTACTCCATTATGGTTTATAATTTGGGTTGGGACTTCCGTCTTCCGTCGAACCTTCATCGTTGTTTCATATATTCTAAAATTTCTTACAATCGATGTCAATTCAAAAATATATCTAATAGTTGAAAGAATCTAGATTGGGAAATGTGTTAATCAAAACTATAATTTTGGACGATGAAATGGAATTAAACTCCGCACTTGCAACATGTCTCTCTCCTGGACCCCTCCATGTCCTGATTCAACAATGCAACTTTAGATTCCTCAACAAGTAGGCTAACATGCATGCATCCTCATTTTAAAGATATTTTGAATACTTAGGGGCCCTATAAAATATTTCCACTAATCTGTTATATCCCTTGCGCTATGGATGGCGATGACAGGTACTTGATTGTCACTGATGACATATGGGATAAAAAAACATGGGAGCTGGTCAAGACCGCTTTGGTGTGTAAGAATTGTGGAAGCAGGATAATCACAACTACTCGTACACTCGAAGTTGCCACAATGGCCAGTGAAGTATACAAGCTACAGCCACTTTCTCTTGATTTATCCAAGGATTTATTTCATAGAAGATTATCTTGTGCTGCAATAGAATGGAATAATCATCTTCCAGCAGTGGTATATGATAAAATTTTACACAAATGTGGTGGTATACCATTGGCTATAATCACAATAGCTAGTTTGCTTGCTGGTAAACCTGTGGAGTTTTGGTCTAAGGTATACACTTCAATTGGTTTTGGGCATGAAGAAAATGAAGACGTGGAGAACACAAGGAAAATACTTTTATTTAGCTATTATGATCTACCTTGTCACCTCAAGACTTGCTTATTGTATCTGAGCATCTATCCTGAAGATCATCTGATTGAAAAAGATAGTTTGATATGGAAGTGGGTCGCCGAAGGTTTTGTCCATGAGGAACCAGGGGTAGGACTATTCGAGATTGGTGAGAGGTACTTCAATGAGCTGGTGAACAAAAGCATGATAATGGCGGTAGAGGGAGATGAACATATTGGCATCATAACTGGGTGTCGTGTCCATGACATGATGGTTGATATGATATGCCTATTGGCAAAGGAGGAAAAGTTTGTTACTCTATTAGATAGTAAGGAGCAATATACATCTTCACATTGCAATGCTCACAGGCTAGTTGTTCATCGTAGAGCCCAGCCCCTGGCTACCATGTCAACATTACAAGCAAGGTCATTTAATGCCATGTGCAGTGTTGATTTGTTGCCATCACTTTCATGCTTTGAAGTTTTGCGTGTCCTAGCTTTGGAAGGCAATGGCACTTTGAATAAGTGTAGCTATAATCTTGAGCATGTTGGGAAGTTAGTTCACTTGAGGCACCTCAAACTAGGGAGCATTGGTATCAGTGAGCTCCCAAAGGAAATAGGACATCTGAAGTTTTTGCTGGTACTGGACTTGGGTAGAAATAGCATAAGGGAACTTCCAGAGAGTATTGGTCGATTAAGTGAACTGAAGTGCTTGAACATCTGGGAAACAGACATTGAAGTGCCATACTGGATCGGAAATTTGACATCTCTGGAAGAGTTGTGCCTAGGAGGAGTTCATGGGCACTCCAACTTTGTGACAGAGCTGGGCAAGCTGACAGAGTTGAGGAAGCTCCGCATTTTTAAAAGCGTATATGTACATGGTGATAGGAGAATGAATAGTTGGGCGGAGTCTGTAGCCAAACTGAGCAAGATCCAAGTCATAGACATTGGTTTAGTTGTCGGGTGTAGGGATTCCAGTCACAGTCACGAAGAGAACCCCTGGGAACGGATTGTTCTGTCTCCACAAATACGTGTTCTACACATGTCCTTCCTAGAACCTGGGATGATGGCAAGGATCAATCCCTCGCTTCTTCCGAATCTGTCCCATTTAAAACTGCATGTATGCAGTCCAGATATGGAGGTCTTTGGAAGTTTTCGAGAGCTTGTCGCCCTCAAGCTGGAGACGGTGTCAACTCTCCACCATGACACCATTGGCGGCGGTGCAGGTGCGTTCCCCAAGCTAAGGTTCTTCAGGACAGAAGCAACGCTTGACTCGTTTCAAGAGGGGGATATGCCGGTCCTTGAATCACTCCAGTTTGAGGTCGTAGCACAGTCCAGTGATGATGGCATTAGCTTTGACTTTGACTTTGCTAGCCTAGGGAACCTCCCTTTGCTTAAGAGAGTCGTCATCACTTTATATGCCCCTCGTGCGGACGACGGGAAGGCCAAGGAAACGGCGAAGCGTGCAATGGATATGCTTCCCAACCGTGTCGAGCATTTTATCATACCAAGGGCTACAGAGAACTGGCGTCGGAGGTAACCAAGTGTATATTTATTTATTCGTCAGTGCTGATCTCCATGGGCAGCGCTACCCGTGTATCTCACAGATCTCCTTTTCCTTTCTTTCCCAGATTAAAACATCGATTGAGCTAATCTAGCCATGCAACTCCACCTCCACGAAACATGGTACGTACTCCCTATCTAAGTAGAGTATTTATCTGCACCTTGTTTTTTTTTCTTTTTAGGCAAGATTAAATAAAAGGAACTGCCAATCAACTGTAAAAAAGCAACTACAAATCTGCCCACACGATACATATATTTTTCTCATCATTTTAAATCAATGAAAAAATAACATGCTATGACAAAATAGCGTGGCCCTTAAAATACGCTATTAGAGAGACATTGTACATCGATTTATTTAGTTAGATATTGCTTAGGACGCTATAGCGTGCTATTTTTTCACTGTTTTAAATAGTAACCATTGATACTCCACAAACACATTTTCTGAGAGTTACTCCATTTATGCAGGCGGGCAGCAGTGTTAACAAATCACAGCAGAAAAAGAAAAGGGATTGGGAGGCTTCTGTTTGTTTGCTCTATTTATTGTCTTTTAAGCAAAGGGGAAAACACAAAAATATCTACTTATTTTACTATCTTTTCAAGAAATGGAAAAGCTGCACAAACTAAAAAGAAGTGTTTTTTTGCTATCTTCTCTTTTTTAGCAGAATAAAAATAAAAAAATGCTTGTTTGTTTTACTGCCTTTTGTAGTAAAAGAAAATGAAAATCACAAAAAAACATGTTTATTTCTCTCCCTTTTGTAGTAATGGAAAAATGCAAAAAAATTGTTTTGAGGTCGAGTAGTCTGTTGCTTCGTTGTTCACTCGGAAAAAGAATTCTAAAAGAGGGTCTTGGGTTTTCTTTACCATTTATTTGGTGTGTGTCGTTTAGGTTTCTATCTTGGGTCTTGGTATTGGAGATTGTGCCTTCATGTGTTTGTGTGTGTCCTGTTCTTTGGGTTTTAGTTTTTGGTTTAGGTGGGTTTGATGTGTATATGGGGGTGTGTGGAGTGGGGGTGTAACTCCGCCTATGCTAAGATGATGTTACGCTTCATGTTGCATAGCCGGTCTCAAGCCCGGAAAAAGGAGGAGGGGCCAAACTCTGCTCATTATGAAATTGTGTGACCATCTTATCTTCGTATGATTGATTATACCCGTTACCTGTAGCATTTGCAGAACCAGAGTATGCGGTGGGTTTTTGGCATTTCCCTTTTCTGCCTCTTAGAGTTCCATTTCCATTTAGTGTTGTTTTTCCTGAGGGTGCAGCTATATCCTGGCTGAAAATCCATACCCATCTGGTATATGATGTCCAGGAGATCTAATGGGCAAAAGAAGTATCAGGTATGGCATGTTTATGTATGAAAATTTTGATGTAACCATGAGGAGTCCATACCTTATGTCTGTAGTTTGATTCATGATTTCTGATCTGGATTGACAAACTGAAGGTCTGGCTGAAAGAGCAAACTTATGCAGAGAATTCACTGTTGTTGACAGAAAACTACTCTCGGGACAGGCATACACCAGATCAATTACCTGATGCAGATCTTCCTATTTAGATTGCTGCACAAAGGGCGGTCTCACGTTATAAAGGATCTCTGCAGAAGCAACGCTAAAGTCTGGTGTTGAAGCAAAACATTCTGAAGGCTATGTGAGTTTAGATTCCTAGTACATGCTGGTTACCTTCTGCTATTTTAGGGGCACATCTTTGGCTTCTGTTTTATATCAACTTAGGAAAATCTACTTCATTAGTATTATCGGAGACCAGGGTTTGACTATGAACCTCATAACCACTTGCTTATTATAAGTTTCCACAGTTCACATTCTCATTTTCCATTGGTACATGCTTCCATGCGACCAGAACCCCAAAATACTGCCGCCACCCTTTTTTATCGGGTTCTTTCTTTTCCTACATATATTATCGTAGAAAGAAGTGTGATATAATCAACATTAAAATTGATACAATAAGGCTTTCCCTGTTTATTTCTGATGCCTATGTTGTTACTTGATCACTATATATTCATCAATTTATGAAGTATCCTCTGCTTTTGCTTCAGGCCAAAATTTCTGCCTAGAATTACCCTTGCAAACATGTAGGAGCCAGCATGCAGAGAATCTTGTGGCAACAATATTTCGGAGATAATGAAAACTTCTTTTGGGATTTTATTTGCCAAGTCTACTCTCCAGGTATCTAGGATTTGATATCTGAACGCCCTTTCTTAACAGTAGGTTATGAATATAACTATTTATATTATGGTTGTGCAGTATTCGCCATGTTGTGTGAAACATGTAACCATTTGGAGATGGTCCAGTGGAAGTGGAACAGAGGACTGGCCAATGTAGAAAATATTGATGGATTCTAAGCAATGTAAGAAATGTAGACAATGTGCGAAAGGTGAACAATCTATGAAAAAGCGATTCAAAACTCTCCTTTCTATTTTTGAGACATTAAAACCAGATGCGTCTACAATGATGCACATTGTTGTACTAACTTACCATGAGATCACAGACTGGGTAGCACCACCCTGATGCAGAAATTCAAGTGCCTTTTTTGATGTGAAGGGTAGTTAAGACTGAATATTATCACACTTGCCTGCAGAACAGTTGTAGTTGCACAGTATTATGCCACTTACCAAAAGGTTCGGGATCAAACAATAAGCATGTTCCATCTTGTTTCTTACCTTCCCTGGTTCATACACAAATACAAGGTTGTAGTTATCAATTACATTGTCAATGTCCCTGATGAAACGCTTGCTGTGCATCAACTGAAGGTTTCAGAATCTTTCTGCAGCATATATCAGGTGCCATCAGAACCATGCCTTGTAATCCTCCCTTCCAAATAAACATATCTGGATTGGAGAAACAAAATTAGCTTTCACTTTTGCTGAAAGAAAAGGAACATGTGTGATGCAGATGTCAGAGGAAATTACCCAATGAGTGAAGCCGATTCAAAAGAAAACCAAAAGAAGTGTTTGTTTGCTATATTTTTCCTTTTTAGCAAATTTAAAAATGCAAAAAAAATGTTTGTTTATTTTACTGCCTTTTGCAGTAAAGGAAAATGCATATCACAAAAAAGTATCTGTTTGCCGGTTGTGAGTTTTTTGTGTGTACTGGTTAAGAAGGAAGTGTGTGTTTATTTGTGTTTCTCGTTCTTTTGTGTGTGCATGTGTGTGGGTAAGTCCGCCTATGCTAATATCTTTGCATAGCCGGTTCCAAGCCCGGAAGAAAGAAGGAGGGACCAAGCATACACGCATGAAGTGTCAAGCCATTAATGTTGTTACTGTTTATTATCTCGTTTATTTGTGGCTTTTGTTCTGGTTTTCTTCATTTCCTTGTTGTTTGATGAGGTTTTGTCGCGCCGAAGTATTTACGAGCATGGTTTGAGGAAAAGCTTCTCCATGCCTACGTGTATCTAGCAAGGCTCACAAGATGGCCATTGTAGTGTGGACTAAAGAAACAGAACCGGATGCATGCTTAATCATGGATATTTTAATTAAAATATTCCGGCCAACGCCCTAAACCTGATGTTTAAGTGGTTGGGCACGGCTTGTGATTAGATAAGGATGGATGGTTACAAGAGGAGAGGATAACAAGATGAGATGCGTTGGCGCATATCTCTCCCGACGGTGCGTTCGGCCGAACAACCCTGGCGGCGCGCATCATCGGGAGAGCCTCATCGCCCTACCTCCCTTCTATATAAAGTCATCGGTTCCTCACGCACAGAAGCTCTCTTTTACATCTATACTCCACTACTATGTCCAAGAAACTTAGGCCACGCCGGGGAACACTCTGTTTCCTAGCTTTCTCCATCGAGTTGACCGGCCGGCCCTGTCTACGCACTGTCAGCTAATTAAGGTGAGATTCATGGTTATTATACAAAGGTACACAGGGCTTACAGATGCCACCGGAAGTACAGATGAAGAAACCACCGAAAGTTGGTCCTTGCTCTTGGTGTACGGCAAGCACAAAAAGAGGTGTCAAGGCATATATGTACGCATGGCTGGTGCCGCAATGGAGCCGCCTGCACGGATCGGTTCACCGATATAAAATAGCAGGTACAAATCATGGCCAACAGGTTTCTCAAGATGATGAACAGGTTTTGCGCGTGGCGGCGTACCCTTCTGAGGGGAGAAGATGAGATTATGAGCACAACATGCGAGCCTATACGGCCATGACCGGAGAGATGAGGAACATAACATCTCGCGCTTCATTTTTACAGGTTACCCTTATGATGGGAGATAAACAGGTATTGCCCGTGGCGTATTCTTGCGAAGGAAGGGCGGCGATGAGATCATGAGCACCACATGCTGCCTTTTATGGCCATGTTCATTGAGATGAGAAACATACCATCTCGTGCTCTATTTTACAGGTCAAACCTCAAGACCGCCTTGAGATAAAACACACAAAACGTCCATCATCCAAGGGTAAATATTTCTGAAATTATCCAGAGGGGTAAACAACCCACACAGCGGCATGCTCATAAATTTTGAGTCAATTTGGCCCAAAGTAGAAATTCCCACAAATTCACAGGTATCACCAATGGACAATTCGCAAACAAGTCGGCAACGCAGTTTGCAATGACTCAGTGGAGTTGTCCGTAGGGATATTAAATCTTCATTTTGTTATGGCGTGCAGAAAATTACAGGTTATTTGGTGCACGGTAAAACTGCCCAGCATGATTATCTTGTCATTTTTTTTAATAAAATCACCCACGAGTTATTTAAGCACCGAACTTTGCCGAGATGAAGAAGACTCGTGCTAGAGTGCTATGTGGAAAATCTCAACTCAGTTGAGTCGGTGAAGAGTGGGTAACCATTGATATGTGTTAGGTCTGACGTTGAGCGTAGGAATTGCGCACGCATGAAATATCCAACTTGCACCACGTATCCATACATACGTGAAGGCTACGATGGCTAGGCTAGCTCTCATATCATTCCTATCATATACTCCCTCCGTTCCTAAATATTTGTCTTTCTGAAGATTTCAACAAGTAATTACATACGGAACAAAATGACTGAATCTACATTCTAAAATATGTATACATACATCCGTATGTTGTAGTTTGTTTGAAATATCTAGAAAGACGAATATTTGGGAAC